TTTTTTAAATATTGCTTGATGACTTTATTGGATCTTTCCTTTTTTTTATTCTCCCATTGGATCTTTCTTGATTTAAAATAAATAATTTCTCATATCATATTTGTAGGTATCAGCTTTTTTCTTCTTTTTAGGAATGTGCAGCAAGAGGGGAAGACTATGAGAAAGTGAAGTTGCTGGAGATCAGCGCAGAAGACGCAGAAAGATGGGAGAGGAAAAAGAAGAGGAAAAACCCCGATCTGGGATTTTCAGGTAGAATTGACCTTCATTGAACTGAACTTCATTGACTAGGCTGTCAGGGAAGCACGCCTTCAGTGTTTCGGGCTTTCAGAAAGGATGTGCCTCTGTACTTCCTTCATGGATTATTCTCTAAGAGGCCTAAAACCAAGAACAATACAAATATGTCTCATAAGGCAGAAGTAAAAAAAAAAAAAAAGGGCTGTACTTCAGTCAGCTGGGTTCTTTTATTCTTTGTGATGAAATTTATCAAAGTCTGCTGATTAGCATCTTCAGGATAGAGGTTATACTTAGATTAGTGTCTTGGGCATGTATTACCTAATATAGGTTGAGTATCCCTAGCCCGAAAATTCTAAATCTGAAATTTCTAGAGCACTGACATGACGCTCAGAGGAAATGCTCATTGGGATTTTGGATTTAAGTTTAATGTAAATATTTGAAAGTCTGAAAAAAATCTGAAATCTGAAACAAAGCATTTCAGATGAGTGATACTCACCTGTACTAGTTTTGATTTTTCTCTCAATAGTAATGTCTAAACAAGTAAATATATCATCTCTGATTCTCATTTTATTTTTAGATTATGCTGCTGCCCAGTTGCGCCAGTATCATCGATTGACCAAGCAGATCAAACCTGACATGGAAGCATATGAGAGACAGAGAGAAAAACAGTGAGTCGTTTTTTCATCCTGAGGCAATGTATGTGTGTATGTGTGTGTGTGTGTGTGTGTGTGTATTTGTGTGCGCGCGTGCGCGCACTCTCATCCATAAATACAGATACTTTAATGCCGAGGTGTGGGTTAGCAGCAGCTGTCAGAGAATGGTCTCAGTTTTGACAACACTGTTTATTGTTCACAGCAATTAAGCTAATCATTTGCTTTTCTTTCTAGCCGGGCATTCTAATACTGGTTGTTGAGTGGTTAAGACCCAGGTTATCATAGTTACTTAGTTATTATTTTAGGAGGCAGAATGCTTTAGTGCCTTCACAGAAAAGTTAGTGAACTTTTTCTGTGAAGGACCAGATAGTAAATATTTTGAGCTTTGTGGACCATATGGTCTCTGTCACAGCTACTTAACTCTGCTGTTATAATGCTAGAAGTGCTGAACTAGAAGCTCTAATACTTTGTGGTCTTTGATAAGTTCTTTAACTGCTGGCTACTGGTTCTTTAATCTGTAGAATGAAGATGTTGGAATAGGTGATTTCTAGGGTCTCTTCCAATTCTGTA